GGCGGTGCGTTTGAATCCGCACCGCGCCTGGCAAACCAGTCGGTCCACATATTGCCCAGAAAATGTACAGGGCTAAGGGCGCGCTCGATGTAGTCTTCGATGCAGCGGTGGGCAGGGATCCAATGAACCCGCGGCCTCCGTACTTGGGCACGGAGAGAGCGCCAGACCGTCGCATGAACAGCAACCGCTCCCTCAAGTTCTGGACCCCACGATGCCGCCTCCGACTCCAGCGCCAGCAAATCGGTGAGCACGAACTCCAGCTTGGTACCGAAATGCCGCGCAGCCATGAGGAGCGCGAACCTCTCCGACCTGCCGACCGCCTGCAAGGGCCCTGGCAGCGGCCCATGCACAGCACGTAGCGGCCAGCCCTGCGCCGACATTTGCACAGCTGCCCATCTGCACCGTCGTATTTCTGGTATAGCCGCCGCTAATCTGCAGCTCGTCGGTGTTCCAGTCGCCCCAGAAGTACGTCGGCAGGCCCGTGGTGACCTTTGGGAGGGGCGGCGGCGCACAAGGAAGGCAAACCCCCACCTCGAACTCGTCGAACGAGGTCTGCAGTCCCTTGTCATGCATGAAGTCACGGATCTCCACGAACTTGTCGGGCACAACCTCTCCCGCGACCGCAGTGTCGTCCGCTGGGGCCAGCACCTCCTCGCAACCGAAGAACCTGCGCCCAGGTGAATCGCTCGGCGCACCGCGCGCCAAGCAAGACGCCGAGCCTGCCAGCTTCATGTCGTACTTGGCCTGCCTGGTCCAGGGGGCCCCAGCCCAGTGTGCGCGCAAGCTGGATGCCGTTGGGCCTTCAGGACCCCCGCCGGCTTGGCCCCAATGCACTGCCGTAGGGCCCGAACCCGCAGCGCAGCATTCTCGCCCAACGGATGCTCGAAACGAGACATGATACGCCTCCCTTGCCATCGCTCGATCGACTCGACCAGGTGGCATCTGAGGTCTCTAGGACTGATGGCCATGAGATTGAAAGTCTCGTCCCTGTCGTTGGCCAGAACCGTCGACGAGTGCATGTGCCAATCTATGCGCCAAAGGGTGAAGATAGTCGCCGAGATCGGACCTCTCGCATAGGTCCACGTCGCCTTGTCCTGCCTCACCATCTGGGTGGTGATGTGCGCCCAGGCATTCTGCAGCTTGCTCGGCGACGTCCTCTGTTCCCAGACGGTGGCGGCGTACCTGCAGATGATGTCGCGCGAGGCCATATAGATCGGGTCGAACTCCTTTGCCTTCTGCGTCGCAAGGTACAGCGTGAGACTGGGGGAGCCCGCGCGCGCTCCGACGAGGCGGCCTGCCTCAGCCCGAATCTGCTGGATGTGTGTGTCCGAGAGGCCAGCCGCGCCAGCTCCATGGCCCGCGCGAGCTTGCGACTTTCTTGTCCGTGACTCTTCTGGAGCATCTGCAAGCGACGGCGTCGAGCAGAGATCCCAGCAATACGCTGCGAAGTGAGCCGCCTAACCTTGCGCGCTCCACATAGGTCGTGCCCAAGGTTGCGGATCCAGTTCTTGCATCTGAGGCCCTTAGCCCCGCCATACTTCTTGCACGCCATAGCCACAGAAGTACTGGAAGGAACACAACCCGACTTCTCGACCTAATAATGACGCCCAAGCTTTTGGCACCCTCTCGAAAGCGTGTGACTACCCTCCACACGTGCTCCAGCTGCTGGAGAGACGGCGCAATCCACTGCGGGCTGATGTCATGGATCAGGGCCCGAGGTATGACTGACGAAGACCGAACGCCAGCCAGCAGCCTGTGGAGCAGCGCCGGAACCAAAGAGCATGAGTGAGAGCAACCAGCCAAGATGCCTTGCCACGCGATGACCTGCTCTGAAACTGACCCAACAGCTCGCAACCGACGCGGTTGCCGATGCAACTCAGGCAGCACCCACACCAGTCTGAGGTCCATACCAACAGCCTTCGCCTCGTTGAGCAGCGCCATCGGCTTGATCGTCTCAAAGAACTTGAACGCGTCCATGAGGGCGGTGAAGGGCTTCTGCTGGGTGGCCTCCGCGATCTCCGCCTCCAAATTGAGTTGGAAGGCGGAGTCTGAAGATGTGCGCCCCGAGCCCAGCCCCCATATTTCAGCACTGGGATGCGCAGCAACCCAGCTGCGAGAGACAGGGGCCTTACTCGAGCCCAAATACGGATCATGCTGTCCATGAGCGTAATGAGTCTGCAACCTCCACTAGGCTTCGGAAGCCTCACCATCTCGTGCCAAACCCGTGCATCAGGCCAGGCAAGGGGACCTTCACACCGCTCGAACAACACCGCAAGCACATACATGCCTTCGCCTGACAACAGGAGGAAAGCACGCACTCCAATCCTGCCAGGACCTGTAGCCGTGGACGCCGAGCGAGAAGAAACAGCATGCCTCATCATGCTGGCCGTGATGGCAGGAAGGGCAGGCCACTGGGCGGCGTCCCCTGGCAGCTCCAGCTGTTGCAGATCGTGACAGCGCCATATCTTAGCCCATGGAACCATCGCGCGATCACAAACTCGGTGAGGGGGCGCTGTAGTGTTGCGATCATCCCAACTGGCCAGCACAGACTGCAGCTCCTTGGTCTTGGTGATGCGATGGGCCCTGCTGGCCCCCCCGCGCGAAACTGCCCTTAGCGCATCTGACCCAAGCAGCCTGCCTGACCTCTACCAGCTTGTCATACCTCATCTTGCAGCGCTCGACTATACTGCTGGCCACCACCTCAAAGTCATCCCTGCTGAGCACGCAGATGCCCCCTCTGAAGAAGGCCTATTCTTCGCTGGGCAGGTGGGAGAGAACTGTAGTGTGCGAACAGATCTTATCCAAATAAGCCTTCGCTTCCAGCAAGAAAGTCGCAGCCTTATTGGAACTCTGCGGTGCCAGCGCACACGTGAGTTCAGCTCTGCGTAGGAGAAGAAGCTCCTTGTGAAGAAATGCGCGAACCCCCATGATGTCGCGCCCGCCTGGCCGCAACCTTCATCGCCTGCGCTTCTCTTCCCAGTCGTACTCTGCGAGCAGGTGGAACCCGCTTGACCGACTTGAGCGTAGTTTCGATCCCGCCAGCACGTCCAGTGTGAAGTCTCCTGCGAGCGCCCATGATGTCATATGTGTCCAGCAGCTCCGACTCCACCGTGGATAGGGCCTTGTCCCAAACAGGAGGCAAGCCCTGGGCGTCCGCAACAGCCCGCACAGCAGCGAGCGCAGGGCCCCAGTCCTCGACGACCCCTCGAGCACAACCAACAGGAGGTACAGCGGGAATGGCGAAGGGCATGACAGGCACCCGGATCTTGAGGTCGAGGTCGTCTGTGGCCAGCTCTAGATGCGCTGGAAGATGTGGGGATGTGGCCCCGTCCTCCTGCGCCCAAGGTTCCCGCGCACGGGGCGCCATGTTGGCACTCAGCATGAAGTAGTCGATGGTGGACCCCTTGTCCACCTGCGAAGGTCGACACGTCGTGGCTCGAGGCACCGCAAAGAGCGCCTCGATGTCGGCGAGGCTGGAGTCCTCCAGCTTCTCCATTGCCATGTTGAAACCACCGCGCACAATGTAATCCGTTTGCGCAGCCTCTAACTTCGCCAAGTAGCTGGCCAGCGTCCACAGGATGCGCCTGTTCTGATCGGCGGGCCCCACGGACTCGACCAAGTACGGAGACAGAATGACCAAGCCTCCTCGCACGCCCCAGTGGACATGCGCCGCAACGGGTCGCCCAGGATACAGCACTGGGTCCTTGGTGAAAGGGCGGCTGAGTAATGGTGATCGACGTCCGCGCCGCTATCGCCACACCCGCCGAAGTGCCTGCTTCTGGCGTACCACTGGGCATTGCAGGCGCCCATGTGCCAGAAAATCCAAAGTCTGCGACCTCGCCCTGGAAGCTCGCCAAATTATCAGCATCCTGGATGTGATGCTCTTGCATAGCGATGACCATTGTCTTGGGGGGGATGGCCTCCAGACAAGCAGCCGCTGAGCCCCAGGACGTGATATTAGTAGTCATACTATTACCTTTCGCCATGGTGTTGCACAAGCAACTGATAACCCGCACAATCCAGGGGGCAGTGGGTTAGAACGGCTTGTACCCGCCCTGCGCCAACCCCCTGGCACGCTCGCGCAACTCTGCCTCCGTAGTGTATGCACCGAGGCCCTCCGTGTTCTTCTGCAGCACAGGGAAGTCGACAGCATCGGGATCCCATTGGGCTGCAGGGGCGGCTGCCTCAGGGACCGCATCTGATGCAGCACCCGCTTCAGCCCCTTGGATACGAGGTCTTATGGAGACGATGGGCTCATTGATCTGGCCCCCGATGCCCTCCGCAAGCCTCTTCTGCGCATCCGTGTAGAGCTGTGGGCCCTGGGTGAGCTTGGTGGCGATCTGCTCCAGCTCCTCCATCTTGATCCCCAGGCCAGGGAGAGACGCCCCAACGCCGTCAGCAGGCCCAGGAGCACGTCCCAGCGAGGCCTGGAAGCGGCCCAACTCGCCCTCCAGCTCCAGCTGCTGCTTTGCAGGCTCTCGGCCAGCTCATCGGCAGCGACCTTCTTAGCGTTGGCCTTGGTGACCTGCTCGATCGCCGCCTGCTGCGCGGCAGTGGCCTTGGCGATCTTCGCCGAGCCCGTCTTGGCGCGATTGGCGACGGCGTGAACCTGCGCGTGGAGCGGCTCGGTGTCAAGGAGCTTCCTGCGCGTCTCCGCCAGCTTCGCCTCGAGGAAGCGCTGCTGCTCCTCCGCCCAGCTGCCCATGCCGCCCTTGGCCGCCAGCAGGTTCGCCTCCAGCGCCTTGACCTCTGCAGCAAGCTTGGCGCCCGCATCGGAGTCGGGTGCCTCCCCTGGCTCGACCTGCACGGCGCCCTCGTCTCGCCCGCCCTGCGCCGCAGCCTTGGCCTTGCGCAGCTGCGCGAGCTCCGCCTTGGCCTCCTGCAGCGCCTTGGCCATCTGCGAGAACTCGGGGCGCGGGGCGACGTCGGAAGCGCCCCCCGCACTCTTCCCGCCGCCGCCCCCTTTGAGCCCATTCGGCCGCGGCAGACGAGACGAAGGCTCGGCAGCGACGACGGCAAGGCCCCCATAGACGGCGGATTTGTGTAGCTTGCACCCGTGACACTTGAGCTGGCTCCCCCGTGTGGCCAAAGGCAGGCCAGTGCGAGGATTGACACAAGCCCGACAACGCCAATCTTCACGCTCCTTAGCCTGAGAAGCACCATTGGCCATGGCGAGTGGGCAGCGCACAGCCTACCCTTTTCCCAGATATGGATCAAAACTGTCGGGCAGAAGCGCCCTGGCACTGGCCGCGGACTAGCGGTATTCACGTGTTCCCCTGCGGAACGAAGCATCTTGAACCAACACGGCTACGGAGGGAGGAGGAGGAGGAGGAGGAGGAGGAGGAGGAAGGAGGAAGGAGGGAGGAGGTGGAGGAGGAGGTTCGAAGATCGAGGTTGGAGGTTGCATTCGTGTGGGCGCATTTTCTGTGCCTCCTCGGGCGCTTTCGTCGCCACGGCTGGACAAATGTACTTTTGGACAAATAGCGCTACTGGCTCAACTTTTGAGGCTCATATACTGATGATGATGCTGATGATGATGCAGATGCTGATGATGATGATGCTGATGCTGATGATGATGAGGCTGATGATGCTGATGCTGCTGATGATCTTGTTATTGATAAGGGTGATGATGCTGCTGATTTTGATGATGATGATCATCATCATCATCCTCATCATGAGGAGGAGGAGGAGGAGGAGAGGCCGGAGGATGATAAGGATGGGAAGGGGACGGATGAGGACGGGGATTCGCGTGGATGGTTTCGATGATGATGCTGATGCTGATGCGGATGCTGATGCTGATGCTGTTGCTGATGATGTTGATGATGATGATGCTGCTGATGCTGACGATGTTGATGATCATCATCATTACTATCATTAGCATCATTATCTTCATCATGAGGAGGAGGAGGAGGAGGAGGAGGAGGAGGAGGAGGAGGAGGAGGATGGGGTGGAGGAGGAGAACGAGGAGGAGCAGGAGGAGGATAGGAGTTAGCATGAATGATATTGCTGATGATGACGATGATGATGATGAAGGTGATGATGATGGTGATGATGATGAGGAGGAGGATGACGATGACGCTGGTGATTAAGATGATGCTGCTGGTGATGATGATGATGCTGATGATCATGGTGATTGTGATTGAGATGATGCTGTTGATGCTGCTGATGATGATTCTCATCATGTTGATGATGCTGATTATGACGAGGATGACCATGTTAAGGATGCGGATGATGACGCGGATATGGATGAGGCGGGTTATGATGATTCTAATGCTCAGA